TATATAATATATTATATATATATATATATATATATATATATTTACTGGATTCCATGCAGAAATTATTAAATAGCAGGATGATTATTCTGGGAATGCCTGGTGAAATGTTTTTTAAAGCTTCAGAAACCTCCAGTTCTTGAAAACACCTTTTTAAAATGTAGATTCAGGATGGTGAATGTGTCAAGCAAAGGCTTTTTTTGGTGAAAGTCACACTTGGCCTGGCTATAGGGTGAATGGTGTGGTAAGAACCTCTTTAAAGAACTGATTGGGTGAATGTCGCTTAATGTTGCTAGATCTGGTCTTGCTAGTAATACGAAACTTCCTGATTTTATGAATGCAGCAAATTGTTTACCTGTAAATACATTGTGAATGTCACATTCACCACTTATGAATATGGCATGTTCCTAAATTGATTTAAACAAAAAATTCACCAAACATGAATTAGATGAATACCTTGTTTAATAAATCTGTAAACTACAAATCACAAACCATTGGATATATATAAATAAAAAGATAAAAGACCATTTCCAAGGACACACAATCAGTGCGCTAAATCAGAACTGTCTACAGACACACCCTAAAATGTTATTGTACATTAAACATTCACTGCTCATTTACCAATATAAACATTCACCTACATTCTACTCTCTGAATTTAAAGTGGTGAATGATGTTGGTGAATATTGGGGTTTCTGGATTTAACAGAGTTTAATAAACACATCCCTTAGTATCCAATAACAAATGTTTTCTTTCTATGCTTGCTATTAGAGATCAGTGACATTGAAAGTATTCATTTACCTAAAATTGGATTAAAAATCGGTAGATTTCTGTGAAATTTTGCCATTTTGGTGAATGTTTTATAGTCAACAGGAAAGGCACAATTAAGGTGTTTTTTTTTTGTTTTTAAGACCTGAAACGGCTCCTAAGGGGTTACTGAAGCTTCATTCCTGAACCTCTTCTTGTGCTAAAACGGGCTGCTCATTAGCATCAATATTTTTTTTTTTATACAAAATTGAAAACAAAAATAAATAATAAAAACAAAATCAAAGCAACAGTACACAAATCAAATGGAAAGATACACAAATACAAAGATCACTAACTTAAATAAACTACCTAAAATACACCCTCCACATCCTCTAAATAAAGAAAAAAAGAGTAGAATGCAATGCTTGGACCACCCTCAGACCTGCCTAATAACATATATTTTTACATTTATTTTTTGCACTGCACTGTCTATTCCTTCATGGCCTCTCTTTATACTGTCTGATGTCATTTCTTTAAATATAATAAATTGTATTTACTTCAAAATTATGTTTCCCGCTTCTTTCCTGCTTTTCCTTTCTAATGGCATTTAAAACCTTAAAGATATTTAAACCCTTTCAGGTAAGTCAGAGCTTAAATGTTGAGCTATTTGGGAATACTGAATGTATATCCTTTTAGAAGCCAATTTATCATAATAGTTTGTTTAAAGGAATAATTATTAACTTCTGAATAAGTATCTGTTTATATTTGTATATAGTTTAGAATACTTTGGAAGTTTTATAAATTAGAATACACACTGAAAATCGGAAAACTATTTTCAAAAATATGTGGAATTATATTTACAAAATACACCTCTCCTACCTGTCATTCCTATCCTTATCCAGTGATTCATTAAAAGGTAACACTTTCATGATAACAGCCCATGAAGTTTTATGCAAAGCATTCTCCTATACTGGAAACACTACATTTTGCTTATGGGAAAGTTGTATTTTTTTCCCCTAGCAATTCATTAATGTTTCATTCAAAACCTAATGGATGTTTCAAAATAATATTGTCTGGGTCATATCACCTTCCGGAAAAAAAACTGCTCTCAAAGTGCTGCTTCTGAGATAGATAATGTATGGGCTTACAGCTAAAACTTTTTTTTCTAGCTTTGCTGTCTGTCTGTCTTGCCCTTCACTTCCAGCCTTGGACACACAACAGGAAAAAAGACGAAATCTACCCAAAGGGAAGATAATTCTCATTTATTTTAGACAGTTGTCACCAGAATAAAAGTCTCAATTGATTTCCTCTCATCTATTGCTCTGGCCATAGCTCTAAAATATTGCATTTCCCATCATTTTCTTCTCAGTGACAATGGTATCCAGTACAAATACCTAAAAGGGAGTCTAAGCAGACAAGGTTCAGCCTGTATCACTTTAATAGAGTTACAGGCAGGCAAGCTGGTCGCTTATATCCAGGTTGTCAGCCATATACTCTCCTTTATTACAAATGTGAATAGTGATGCCACCAGTGAACCAGTATAGGCTTACAGAAATCAATCATATTGATAATGCTAATCATTTACAATGTATAAAAATCATTTAAAATTGGGCAATTGAAATATAATTAAAAAAAGTCTAGCATTTTTTTAAATTCATGCAGGTAACTATAAGTAGTCATAAATTAAATTAAAAAAAATAATTATCAGCAAGTATAGGGAAATAGAAAGCTTTCTGAACTTTAAGACAGATGGGATGGCTGAGCCAAAACCACAGCTCTGTATAGCAGACGGATAGAAAACACTTCAATTTTTGCTGCTGTTACCAAGTAATCTGCAGTGTAAAATCAACAGTTTTAAGCCTTTTATTTAACAAGATACCAGCTGTCTAGAAGCTGGTTTTGGAGTTTGTCCTCTCACTGTCCCTTTGCCGGGATACTACAGATAATTATTGCAGATGGCTGTGCACAATAAAAATATTACAGGGCAATAACACCGATCCAGCCACCGAACAAACAGCAGCAAAAAAAATCACTTTATATAGTTCTGTAGGTTTCTTTGGGGTCTATTCAATTAATTGCTGCGGGTCAACAAGTAGGTGAAAGAACCCCAATAATAAATATTATATAGGATCTCCAGCGGGGCAAATTATAGACAATGCAAAACAGCTAATAAAGGTAGTTGGAGGATTTTTTTAGTACACGATAAACGAAGTTTTAGATTGGCTACAGATAGACAATTATATTCTTCCTGAGGATACATCGTAAGAGGATTTAAAGCGTTTGCAGAAACAGATTCAGCACCACAGCAATTGCGATATATCGGTTTCAGAACCACGAACAGCAACCGGGTCGCACCCGACCCTGTCCCCTGTATGAGGTTGTTGCGTTATATTACATTAATAGTATGCACCTGCCTGTTCCCCCTATATATGCTATTCTGTGTTAGTATTTTAGGTGATCATATGGCTATAACTGCTATTTAACTATTCTGGCTCTTAAATGTCGAGCTGTGAGCCTGAATATAAAGGGTAAAACAACTATAATAAATAAGATCAAATATGAATAATACCCCTATGCAATGGCAGCAGGGGATGGATCGGACAGGTATACAGTGGTCTGGGGTTTGCTCACCTTTCTGCACCCCGGCTGAGAAGGGTCTCCAGTTTTGGGTCTTCTCCTTCAGGAAAGTCTCTCCCACCGGATCTGAGACAAAGTAACAACCAACATATGATAAAAAGCTGCCAGAACTCCCCATCAGAACTCTCTGCATCTTACAGAGACAATAAACGTCCAATGTAACAATGAATGGCTCTGCAGGAATGGTTGGGGTAGCAAGTGTTACACATCGAAGAGTTTACACAGTATTAGCAGTAAATACATAAAGAGCAATGCTAATATATTAAACAAAAACAGCACATAATGTGGAGTGAAGAAGGAATGTAACAAAGCTTAAAGAAAAAAGATGGAAATTCTTCCATTGCAGGGGTTTATAACAGAGTACAGTGCAGTCTGAGCTCCTCTGTCTTTGTAGTTTGGGGTGTAGGGGCAGGCAGCCCCCCGGATCTCAGTCAGTGTGCTCAGGGAAAATTCTGTAGTTTGGGGTGTATGGACAAACTGCTCCCCGGATCTCAGTCAGTCTTTGAGGTTTTTCGATTACTCCGAAGTTTGGGGCTTCTCCCTGGAATAGGAGTCGGTGTGCCCTGGGAAATATATTTTGGGGTGTATAGGCTGCTCCCCAGATCTCAGTCAGTGTGCTCAGGAGATGCCCGGCAATGAAGGATGCAGAGGCAAGAAGTTCCCAAAAACTATAGTCAATGTGTTCTGAAGGGTATAGTTCGCAGGCAATCATTGTATTTCGTTAGGGGCTTAGCAGTTTTGGGGAGCTGGAAAAAAACTGGGTCCCCAGGGTGGTTTGGGTAAGGGGGGTGTCAAGAACAAACCTCTACCCAATAGATCAGTCGGATGCTTTGCTGTATTTCTGGGGGCAGGCTAAGATCTTAGGCAGTCACTGTGGAGTTGGGGGGAGGGGGGCTCTGAAAGTTTGGGGGACAATATCAAGCTGGTCCCCAAGCTTCAGCCAGTGTGTTGTGAAAAGATCTGTAGTTTTGGGGGGCAGGACAGGCTGCTCCCCGGCTCCCAGTCAGTGTAAGGAGAGACGGCAGGAAACGCGTCCAGGAAAAAGGAAATCCGATTTCTGGGGAGTTATAAGACTGCGGAGACCAGCCCGAGGACAGACAGGAGGTACACCCCAGAGGAAGACAACACTGGGGGGGCATCACAGAGGAAGACTCACAACAAATTGAGATTTGGGATCACACCGAATAATATCAGAAGGAAGATAGGGCTCCCAAATAATAGGGACAGAGGAACGGAACTCTGGAAAAAGAGGGGGGTCCTATGGAAAAGATTTGCGGTAACTAGTATAATTTGGGGGTTCAGAGAATAATAGTGATGAATGGCATTTACAGGTGGAATTGGGCAAAGACATGAAGAATCAAGGTGGTGACAGGAAGAGAATGGGGTGACAGAGGGTGATGTAAGGGGGTGACAGTGGATCGCAGACACAAGTGAAGGAGACACTGGGAAGCGATCAGTGACACCTAATAGTGGGGTGACACATGCGAGAACAGGATGGTGTTGGGACACATGTTAGATGAGGTGACAAACACACCACAAAAGGATAGAAGGGTGGCACACATAGGGTGAGGGGTAACACACACAAAATTACAGAGTAGAGGGGTGATACACATTGGGGTGATGCATATCAGGACAAGAGAGGGGGGACACACATTAGGTGATGGGTGATACATATCAGAACTGGATAGGGGGGTGACACACATACAATTACAGGATAGAGGGGCGATACACATTGGGTGATGGGTGATACATATCAGAACAGCTAGAGCAGTGGCACATATTGGGTGAGGGTGATACATATCAGAACAGGATAGAGGGGTGACACACATTGAGTGAGGGGTGACACACTAGCCAGAAAAGGTTACAGGGGTGACATACATTGAGTAAGGGGTGTTACATACCAGAACAGGATTGAGGGGTGACACACATTGGGTGAGGGGTGACACACTAGTCAGAAAAGGTTACAGGGGTGACATACATTGAGTAAGGGGTGTTACATACCAGAACAGGATTGAGGGGAGACACAAACTGGGAGAGGGGTGACACACATACTAGAACAGGATTGAGGGGTGGCACACATACCAAAAGAGGATTGAGGGGTGACACACATTGGGTGAGGGGTGACACACATACCAGAACAGGATGAAGGGGTGTCATTCGTTGGTGGAAGATATAAATGAGGGATGACAGTTTCCATCAGCAAGAAAAATAAAAATGGGAAGCATAGGTCAAAAGTGGGGACCATAAGGAAGTGAAGTGGGGAGAAGGGGGCAGAGGCAGAACTGAGCTCTCAGCAGGCAGAAAAAGTGTCAAATAAATTCAATGGGGGATGCAGAAGAATCCAAGGACGAGGATGGGAAGGACTCTGCAGACAGCCTGTAGTGGACAAAAAAAGACTCAAAACTAAGAAAGCAAAGCCAGTAAGTGGCCAAGAGAAATGAAGGAATGAATGTGAACAAGTACATTCACCCCCAGGTCTAAAGAAAAGGGGGAGGGGGGCAGGTCCAGGACTGCCAGCTGCTCCCACCTAAACATTTTTGGGGCCCCCAGCCTATCCCCCCAATGTTCTACCTGTGAGGTACATGTTGAGCAGGAGCTGGGACGCGGCACCCTGAGCCATGGAGGAGCTCTGACACCCGCATGGGGTGGGCTGCCTCTCCTATTAATAATAAGACTTTAGCACTATTGTTATTAGATGCTGAAGGCAGAGAATGGGGAATAGATGGGAGGGAGGAGAGGACAAGGATAATATCCAGGCAACCCTCTGAGATGTGGCCCTTCCAGAATGGAGAAGAGGGGCCCCTCCCGCCATCATTTCCTCTGTAAAACTCTTTTTTAATTAAAGCTGCCATCTGACTGTGTCACGTTTAGATCGAACCGCTGCCCGCTGCCCCTCTTATCAGCGCTCATCTCAGTATTAATAAAAGTTGGGCTGTTAAAGATCAGAGTTACTATGGGAACAGCGCCCCCCTTCGCCACATTTCACGCCTGTTTAACTCTTTGTAAACAGCAGGCGGCGTCACAGGCGGAGAGGTTCGGGGCGGACGGTGCGGGCTCTGTGCGCTTCATTAGCTCTGAGACAACAATATGATGGAGATTCATCCGGGGGGAACCAGAACCTGGGAGGGGGGGGGCTGACAATGGGGCAATTAGAGGCCATTATAGACACATCAGCCAGGCATTGACCCTCTGGGTGCTGAGCCATAAAAAGTAACCCTTTGTGTGCTAGGCACATTTAACCATCTGTATGCCAGAGACCTAGGCATAGAGCGTAACCCTTTGTGCACCAGACACATTTAACCCTCTGTGCACTATAGACACTTTGTGCATAACATTTAACCCTCTGCTAGAGACCTAGGCATAAAATGTAACCCTTCGGGCGCCAGACACATTTAACCCTCTGCGTGCCAGAGATGGAGCCATTAGGCGTAACCATTTGGTCATGACCCTTTGCCAGAGACCTAGGCATAAAGTGTAACCCTTTGTGTGCCGGACACATGTAAACCTCTGTGCACAAGAGAGCATGTGACAACGTGTAACCCTTTGTGCACCAGACACATTTAACCCTCTGCGCACTAGAGACCGAGCCATGAGGCATAACCCTTTGTGCATAACATTTAACCCCCTACCAGAGACCTCGGCAAAAAGCGTAACCCTTTGGGCGCCAGAAACATTTTACCCCCTGCATGCCAGAGACCATGTGACAATGCATAACCCTTTGTGCACCAGACACATTTACCCTCTGTGTGCTAGAGATGGAGCCATAAGGCATAACCTTTTGTGCATTACATTTAACCCTCTGGCAGAGACCTAGGCATAAAGTGTAACCCTTTGTGCACTGGGCACATTTAACCCTCTGCGTGCTAGAGACGGAGCCATAAGACATAACCTTTTGTGCATGACATTTAACGCTCTTCCAGTGACTGAACAATAGAGTGTAACCCTCTGTGTGCCATAGACATTGCATGCCCTAAACCATCCCTGTGCTGGAGACCAAGTCATAGAACTTAAAAATATATTAAGTCAACTTTTCAGTATAGGTAATGGTTAAATCCCAGCCAGGTGTTTTTGGTTGTCATCTGTGTCCCATTGGGCAGGTTTGCCTTTATTTCCTGTTCTGCTGACACAGCTGCAAGTAAAAAGCAAATCTTTCCAAAGCAAGGAAAATGACAGTTGTCATCAAAATAAGTTTGCCCCCCTGAACTTGTTCTGGTGACAACTCTAAAGTTTGAATTCTCCTTCACGTTCAGTCTTCGGGGTCATCAGGCCAAATAAAGTAAATCTTTCTAAAACGGGACAAAGAAACAAACAGGTTCTTCTGACTTCTTTCCACACTTTCAAAAACAAAAACCTAAAAAATGTTTGGCTTCAGGTCCATTTTAAAAGACCAGAAATCCTCTGCAGCCAGAGACTGAAACACTTAAAGGAGAACTATGAGGTGGGTGCTTTTCACTCACCTCATAGTTCTAGCCGACCTGTGACAATGAGACTGTCACAGGTCGGCTCAGTAGATCGGGAGGTGAGCGAACACATACCGGCGTTCGCTCACCTCTCCATCCTGTCACGGCTCTCTGCCGTGACAGGGGAGGGGCTGGATTCCCCCCTCCCCGCTCCGATCCGCCAGCGCTGACTGGCGGAACGGACGGGGGAGGGGGCGGGTACAGCTGGCTCTGCCTATCGTTAAGCAGAGCCAGCTGTCTGTCACGCAGCTGGGCGGATCCCGGCACAATTGTCGGGATCCGCTTCAGCTGCGGCGTCCTCCCGTTACCCTAAGGAGAACTATGGGGAAAAGACTTAACCCCATAGTTGTCCTTTAACTCTCTGTCTGTTAACAGCTGTGTCTGTGTGCCACTGAAGAAATCTCTTTTTAATTCCTGTCCCAGCGACACAACAGGAAGTTAGAGGAAATCTTCCAAAATGGGTGAATGCTTCTTCAGTTGTCCCCAGAACAAGTGTCCCCATTGGAAGATTGTTATTGTGACAACTCAAAGACTTTGGAGTTCCCCTCACTTTCCTTCTAGATTATAATGGTCACATCTCTATCAAATAGAGGGATACATCTCAATGAGAACACAGACGACAATAAAAACTTTACAAAGTGTCTAACCCTTCTCCACTCTATCCAAAACTAAATGAAAAAACTTTTGCCTAGAAATGCACTTTAATCCTCTGAGCTGTAGAATGTGACCCTCAGCTTTACATGGCCCTGTATAGTAACAAACACTTTATTAGGGCCCATTCACACTGTACTGTACCGCTTACCACAGGTGACTTATGTTACCATTCATTTGAATGGCGCCCCAATGCACCTCCCGGCCCCAATGCCCCGCAATGCAGTGTGACGTGTGGTACCACAATACTGTGCATTGCAGGCTCTATTATAAATTGTACCTTCCTTCATTCCAAAATGTTATTACCACCTTTTCCAGATGTGAAATAATAAAATGTCCCACCCAACAGGTCATCTTCTTTAACTCACTGAGTTATATTCTCCTCTTTTGATTCTTGTCTGTGAACGTTTACTTCAATTCGTCATTGCCCAATGGCTTGGGTAGAGATTCTGAATACACCCCCAAGACCCTGTATTTGTAACCCTGTCTGATTTTCAGCAATCGTTTCTCTCTCTGCAGAGATTCACCCTCTCTGTTTCTCCTGGTGACTATTTTCACCGGGAGAGAAAACTAATCAAAAGTGCTGTCACCATAACAGGAATAGAGAGGAATCTCCCATGGGGGACACTTGTTACAGAGATAACTGTCTATAATTTCCCCTCACTGCAGACAAAAAATTCCTGTCACTTCCTGTGACATAGACAGGAAGATAAAACTATGGTAGGGGTGTGAATCATTCCCTACTTCAAAACGAAAGCAAAAATTAATACATATCAGATGAATAGTTCATATTATAAACCTAATAAGGTGTTTCAGCCACACGTGGCCTGACTAAGTCATGGCTAGAACTAAGGCCGTGTGGCTGAAACGCATTACTGGGTTTATGATGTGAAATCTTCGCCTGATATTTATTAAAGTATTGAAACAGGAAGCTGTGTTCCGGAACCTGCGTTCTGATCACTGCGCTGCTTGCATTTAAAAAAAAAAACATTTACTTTGTCTTTAAAGGAGAACTATGAGGTGGGTGTTTTTCACTCACCTCACAATGAGACTGTCACAGGTCGGCTCAGTAGAACGGGAAGTGAGCGAACACATACCGGCATTCGCTCACCTCTCGATCCTGTCACGGTTCTCTGCCGTGACAGGGGAGGGGCTGGATTCCCCCCTCCCCGCTCCGATCCTCCAGCGCTGACTAGCGGAACGGACGGGGGAGGGGGCGGGTACAGCTGGCTCTGCCTCTAGATAGGCAGAGCCAGCTGTCAGTCACACAGCTGGGCAGATCCAGACATAATTGTCGGGATCCGCTTGAGCTGCGGCGTCTCAGTATACGAGCTGTAGCTCGCGGTATACTGAGGTTAGGGTGACGGGAGGACGCTAGTTTGTGTCCTCCCGTTACCCTAAGGAGAACTATGGGGAAAAGCCTTAACCCTTACCCCATAGTTCTCCTTTAAGTCATCTCAATTGATGTTTTGTACAATGTTACCAGACCAACAGTAACTTTTACAGCTGTGTGTACTCTAACCACAGAGAGGCTCCATGGAGGGTCATCTCATTTCTCATCTGCACAGACAGGTGCCGTAGATTCTTCACCCAGCCCTTTGTACATACACCACATTGCTGTCGGTACTGAATGAGATGACAGGGACTGGTGTATGTTATGTAAATGTCGGGGACTCGTGTCACACCTCCGGCTGTCTGCGATACAATACGGAGAGATGCAGCTTCATCATGAATATTAATAAGGAGAGATAAACATCTCCCTCTATTCATTATCCGTAACAAAGACGCTCAAAACACACAAAACCACAGAAGTTTTTGTTTTATCCCTAAAGGAGTTGTATCGAAAATTGTATATTATGACCAAAAAATAAATAAAGCTTGGAGCATCACTCCTCATGCATACCGCAACTAACCCTTCTGAGACTAAGTTTACCTATCTGACCACCTACAGTATATAATGTGTAACATGAAACATGGTCACATTGTAACTAGGGATACACCGATACTAGCATTGGTATCAGTGCCAATACCGAGTATTTGGGCGAGTGCTCTTACCCAAATGCTCCGGATACTTATCCCGATACCAGAACTTCCGGGATCAGGAAGCCGGGTGACAAGTCATTACAGGCCGCTCAGCTTCCTGATTGTACGGGAAGCCGGTTCCATGCTCCCTTGTCACGAGCTGGCAATGTAATGACTTGTGTTGCTGATTGGCTTGTCTTGATTGGCTGGGAAATCAACTCCATGCTCCCTCATCACTTGCTGACGAGGGATCATGGAGTCGGCTTCCCGGCCAATCAGGAAGCCGAGCAGCGTGTAATGACTCGCAGCTTAGCTTCCTGATTGTCCAGAAAGCCAGCTCTATGCTTCCTGGTCACCCGGTGACGAGGGAGCATGGAGCCAGCTTCCCGGCTAATCAGGAAGCTGGGTGGTGAGGTATTACACACCGCCCGGCTTCCTAATGGGACTTCCGGTATCGGTATTTGGTATTGGCGAGTACCAAAAAAAAAATATCAGTACTAGTACTCGATACTGAA